GCCGGCAATTCATACCCTGTACGTTACTTCCTGCCTCGCAGGTCTATCCACGCCTAGCACCTCTTCCTCGTCCTGACATCCTAATAAAGGCAAACAGAACGTTAGCACATTTCATAGGTGTGCGAAAACCTAACACTCACGTCGCTATAGCATGGACAACTGTAATTCACTTCACTTAAGCACATAAACACCTAGCACTTACGAATTTCATTTCGGATAATGATAGTCCCAAGGCAGTTTAACTAGGAGTTCCGGTTAGATGAATAGCATTGATCAAGTGCCTTTCCAACAAGGGACTCCAGAAACTCAAGATCCAAATCAACATCTAAAATAAATCCCATACCACATAGTCACATAGCATGTTCATAATTAAGCACCATAGCATATTGCATACTACAACTAAGTCCTATAGCGAGACAAACCCATTGTGCATCCGAATCAACTTCCACGTACAGTATCTCGACCCGTTACGCTGTGTGAAGTTGTAAGCCTCAATAATAACATTTAAACTAACCACATTCCTTATTTCATTGAGTTTTTTACAAAGTATTACATGTTAACATCAAACAAAATTGCCCTACGGGCTTACAGCTTTCAAGTTAACACTTGGTTACAACAAAGAGTTCTAACTCGTTTACACATTAAGCCCTTGGCTTAGAAATTACATGTAATACATCAACAGGTAACGACAAAACTTATGTCCGCCACTAGCTAACCCAGCTATGTCTTGGATGGCTACTTCCTGCTACCTGAAAAATGATATTCCCATATAGGTGAGCACAGCCCCAGTTAGAAATACACATAAACCAAACCTGGAACAAGACTTAATAACATTAGCAATTGATAGTTTGAGTCAAACACTGGATTCAATCACATACATTACATATTTATGTCAACGACTTTACAAGCCCAATTACTTTTCATTTTCCCTTTTTCAACAGATAAGCATTGCTAGCTCTATTCATCATTTCCACAGATATGTAAAAAACTATATCTTCACATTCAGATAAGCATAAAGCTATTATCCACATTCTCACAGATCATGTTATGAATCAACAATATCCAGATAAGATACAAGCTGTATTCCACACTCTTTAACAGATATGTATATCAACAATACCACAGATAAGCACTACAAGCTGTTATCCACACTTCACTTTCACAAAGATAAGCATATAGTCTATCTATCATTCTCTAGACAAGATTGGAAGCTCTGTCTACGGAGTAACCTATCTCCTCCAATAACCTATCCGGTTTAGAGTCCATCCCCTATCGTTCCCCTAAACGCGGAGTAATCCCTATCTCTCCTCTACACAATAACGTTATAAACACATTGGTTCTAGTATACAATCACAAAATACAAAACATTAACTTGTACTTCTAGGCACACTGTCAAGTTCCATAAAACATATCATTTGATTAGTTCAGTTTTGCCTAATCAATAACATTGTCTACAACAATCACGATATCTCCCACCGATAGGCCCCAAGCAGTTATTCTAACAGAAAATAAATGCCAAATGGATATTAATCAACAATTTCATTTTCCTTCAATTTCATTCAATTAATTATCCAATTAATTAAACAATGCATATAGACCATTTTCCATAGATTTACCATTTCAACCTTCAGGTCACATTTCTTCATGATTCAGCAATCATTCCATTTTTTATCATGCTAAACATGATCATAGGTTTATTATGAATAAAACCCAACTTTTGTAAATTACCAAAAGCCCAAACTTTCACCAAAATTTACCAAACAAGCCAACATCTTCAAATACCAAAATTTAAAGACAAAACCCATAGAGAGAGAGTAGGAATATTCCCTACCTTAAGTTTAAAGCCAAAAGGAGATGAGACTCCAAGATCAACTTGCTCAAATCCAAACTTTTTTCAGATTAAATCGGAAGCTCTCAACGCCTCTATTTTTAACAAAAGGCCCTTAGGCTAGATTCACACTCTAGGGAGAGATCAAATCTATAGGAGAGTGCAAAGTTTAGAGAGATATGAGGGTTGTCGGATTTAAGGGTTTGCTCAAGAAAGAGTGAAAAAGTGATGTTCTTAGACGCTGCGTCCGCTAGATATAAACACTCTCGCTCGAGCGAAGGATATGGTCGCTCGAGCGACCTAGACACAGAAAACTCTCGCTCGAGCCAAGAAAGTTTCTCGATCGAGCGAAGAAAAACCCAGACGCTCGGCCACGAAAAGCTCGCTCGAGCCAGAAACTACAACTCTCAGGTCCAGAACCGGGGCAACACAACTCTCGCTCGAGCGACAAACGCCTCGTCAGGCGAAGAACCAAAAATCAGGGCCAGCAACACTAGGCTCCGCCAAACGCAACCAACCTGTAACAAACCTTGCCCAACACATTCCCATTAACTCACTATACAAGGTACAAAGGATGCAAACCATGATAATAAACAACAACCAAGCATCCACGGAACAGTGTCCGGATCTAATGTACAACAAGGATAAACCTGAGATCGTATTAGCCGAATGTGGCAACAGGATACAAAGACATCGGCTAGGGAGGACGACACTTGACTAAGCTGTGCCACACCTTGGCCGGGGTGTGCCACATCTCGGCCTAGGCCATACCTGCCTGCGGACAAGGTTCACTAAGTGCAAAACATCTCGGCAATAAATGTCCGAGGTGAAGATGGGGGTTGACCAAGGTCTCAAAACAGTTCTAAGTACAAGGATTCAGAGGCGAACTAAGCTCAAGGTGACCTCGGCCACACACAGACACACACCGAACAAGGAACAAAATCAAGCAAGCAATACTTAGACAAAACAAGGCGAGGCAAAACCTTCAAATCAACATAGTAAGGCAAAACCATGCATGAATGTATGCAAGCATGGCAAGAGTGAGGCGAGGGTTGTTACATGTGTGGTGAAAAACCAGAAAATGTGACCTAGGAGAGAGAAAAACAAGCTTTTTAGCAAAGTTCAAAAGGGTCAAGAAGAATTACTGGTCGGCCTACCCATATTGGTCGCCTCCCAGATGAGCACAACACAATGGTGGTATGCAAAGCCAGAAATTGTGGCTCAAAAGTGAAAAAAATCAGCTTTTTGTCAGAAAAATCGAGTTTTGGAGAGAGAAAATGAGAAAACTGGTTTTTCAGGGGAAGATAGCCTCACACCATCCTACCATCTTCCTAACAATGAAAACAGGGTCTCTACCAAAAATGGACCAAAACGATGAAAAACAAAGGTTCGGGGGCCAAAACGTGCGGTTCAGGGCCCCGAAAGCAGGCTGTTAGGCACCAAAAGTGGCGTATGACCACGAAGGTGGTCTCCCAGGGCACAGTGTCCCTCAAAAGAGAGGAAACAAGGTGTGTGCCGAAAATCGAAGCAAACGGAAGTAATTAAGCAGTCCCGAACCGAGGCACACGGCCGACGGCTCCGAAAACCAGAAACTGGCCTCCAAAAGGGAAAAATGGCCTACGACCACGAAACGTAACCTACGGCTACTGAGAGATGGTCTACGAGACCTCTCCCTCCCTTCGGGAAGAGAAAATAGAGAAAACAGGACCCGATTCGCAAACTGAGGCAAAGCACAAAAGAGCCCCGAAGTCCGGAGGTAAGGCTCGCAACCGAGACTCCGTATCCTCAGAACGAGCACAATATGCAACATCACCGAGCGCTCAGTTGGTGACGTCTGAGTCTTAAGGTCAATGAAAAATGGGGTGTCTACATATATGAGAGGTGATTTGATTTAATGGACATTAATGGAAGAAAGGGGCTTTGCCTCAATAATTTTGTAATGATTGAATATTCTTGAAAACAACGTTTATCTCATAATTCTTGGATTTAAAGAGAATAGGAGGAAAAGCCCCCCATTCATGCAAAACCCTAGCTATTGATTATGGTTCTTTGTTTTGGAAATAAATGGGAAATGAATTGAGGACATGATGATGTGTTTAGACATCTTGTGATGAGACAGATTTAGGGATTTGTTTAAATGATATGTAGTGCGATATATATGTGTATGTATAGTAAATTTGCATTTTGATCATCCGAAGTCTCTCTTCTCTGTTTCACTGAGAATGTTCAGACTTGTATTCCTAAACAAATAAGCAATATTCAAGCTTGTATTTCTGAACAAATAAGCAATGTTCAAGCTTGTGTTCCCGAACAAATAAGCAATGTTCAAGCTTGTGTTCCCGAATTGATCATATGTTCAGGAGTTCAATACCGAAAAAAATACAAACAGTTTTCACCATTTTTGATATATTTTTCAAGAAACTTACATTTATAAAGCTAACCTCCTCTGAGCTAAAAACAATATCAAAGCTATGAATCTCTTCTAACCTTACATTGTTGTATTACTCTCGCCTCATAAAGTTATAGTTGTCAGAAAAACTTTCACTCATTGCCATTGTCAAAGAAGTGTAATAAAATAGCCATCGTTGCCGCCAAAATATGATCGCCAGAGAGGTTTGAAGGTGAGATTTGGTGAAGATAGATTGGTGATGATAGATGTTCGTGCTCTCTTAAATCCTATCTCATGGTTGAGTGATGGTGTGGGCTCAATTGTGAGTTGACATGTCCCAAAATAATTTATATTCTATTTAGTAATTTCATTTAAGGTTATTATTGTAATAAAACAAAAATAAAAAAATAGAAGGCCCAAAATAATAAATGAAGTGCTAATTGCAACACTTCTACTTAAAATACGAATTGTCCCCTATGATTTTGAATACAATTATCCGCTTGTCAGGAATATTTTATTTAATAGAATTAACATAAAAAGTAAAAGTCCGAACTACTCTTCTATACAACAATAAAATTAGATGAATCGTTAATTGAAATACATTTATGACACCATTAAAATTAATTAATTGACTTGGCGATTTATTTATAAAAATGGTCATTTGTTATGCAATTAGGAACTTGAAAGAACATGATGTAATTTTTAGAACCACAACAGACAATCTGTGTTTTAAGCAAACTTTAAGGGGTGTATTTGTAATTCCCCACCCCCCACCAAAAAAACAAAAAACAGCGAAGCCACACTCATGGATATATATAGTTATTTTCCAAAATACATTGGAGAATTCAGAATATTTACTGCCCAAACCTATTTAAAAATCAATCATCTACCGTACAGGTTGAATGGTAACTCCATTAGAATTGTACAACATGGGGTTTCAGATAGAGATGTATTCAACTAGCCTATATTGAAAAATACACAAGCAGTTTAAACATGTCATTATTGTCTTGAATAGCGGTCCACAAGTGCCTTGGCTTTCTCTGGTGCGAAGAACCGTGCCTGCACACAACCTCAATAGTTACAAACTTTGTTTTCCATTTCATTTATTTATTTTTTTTGGGATACATTGAAGTGAAGAGCAGAATCAAACACATAACATCTTACAATAAGGTTTATGAGTTCTCCTGGCCACTGAAATTAATTCAAGTGGTTTCATATTTTAATTTAACCCAAAGAGAAACATCACAAATTTTCCTTATGCAGAATGAAATGTGAAGTCTTGAAAATGAGCAACAATCAAAGTAAATGCCTCAAACTTGCATTTTAAACAAAATAAACCAAACCCAAACTATCTATGTACCCGTGCATCCTGATACTCAAAGTTATATTTAATATGAGGAGAAAAAAGGATTTATCTCCCTATTCAACTACCCATCCAATAGCATTTGGCTTCAGAATTCTATGGACTGCATAAATCTTGTCTTCCAGCACATAATGCCACTGCTTTTTTTCTTTTTCTTTTTTTACAGTCATATTGCCACTGTTAATTGTAAACATCAGCACTGCCCCTGCTCTAACAATATTGTCAAAAAGCAACCTCTATGGCACTGGATCAATCAAAATGAAAATGCACTATTTATATGCAATGTTCATTGCCTCATCAATGCCATCACCACCTTGCACAAACAACACCATGGTCACTGCTGTTCCTATTAACACTTGGGACTTACCTTGCCTTTATAAGTGCTAAAAAAATTATAGATGGTGATTTTATTGGAGTCTTTCTCCTAGATTATATGAGTAAGAATTCTATGGATTACTCATACTCTAGTTTAGTCACAGAGATGTGGATTGCACATCATATGAGGGGACATCAGCACATACAAATGCAAAACATTTCAACATTGTCCAAGAAGCCGGTAAAATAGAAAAAGGATTCAAATGAAACGTAAGGATTGAAAAGAGGTGTTGACAAAGAAGATAAAAGAGTAATTTGTTGGCACATAAGATATAGTGATACTTCCACTATTCCAAATCTTACTCATTTTGTCTTACATTACATTTTATTCTTCTTTAAGGTTTGGATTGTAGTGGTGGTTTAATGATAAGAGGCTTTTATGAAATGTAGCTCTACAAAAAGGCCCCACTTGTAAACTTGGCTGCGTAGTGTGTTTCCTAACAAAATCTTGGGCACAAAACTGTGAATCAGTGTTTTAAAAGGGGCCTAAGCATGTGCGCTGAGGCACCAAGCGCACTTGAGACGCCTCAGATAGCTTGAGGTGAGGCACAGTAGGAAAGGCACATTTGAGGTGTTTGAGACGCGCGCCTTAGGCTTAGGCGCCAGGCACACGCCTCATGTGCTACATTGAAATTTTTCCTCCATCCTTATCTTTATGTGTGTAACCATATGGCATTACAACCCACTTAAATGTAAACACATGCTTTGAGCCCCAATTTTCATACCAAAAAATGCTCTAGGAATTAAGCAAAAGTTCTGGGATTGCAAGATGGATGTATGTACTTACCCAAAAAAAAAAAAGATGGATGTATGACTTTGGGATTCCTTTCAATGTAGTAAATTACAACAGTTTCGGGCCAATGATTGATCAGGCAATTTGGTCCCAATTTAAAATTAAAACCAGTAAGATATTATATGGTGTGAGTTCCTAATCTAAAAAAAGAAATGAATCACGTTAATAAATTGATAAAGAAAGAAAAATAGTATAGGGCAACGTAAGATTGAATATTATTTTTGAGCAATTTTTGAAACGTTGAATGTTATTTTTCATGATTTTTGAAATACTGAATGTCATTCTATTTATTTATTATTTTTTGAAATTCTAAGGATATTTGTTTTATGTTAAAAACTTGGCCTATATTAATATTTTGGTTATCTTCAACAACTTGCACCTCGCTTCGGTTAGGCGCGCGCCTCAACTTGCACCTCATGCTTAAGCTCCAAAAGACCTTAGCACCCCAATGTGCCTGGAGCTTTTTAAAACACTGCTGTGAATGATGATAATCTATTGAAGTGTTAGTTTCATTCTCAGATTGAGAGAACCACAATCAAACTTTGATTTATATACTGGACACCTGAGTCAAGATGCCCCTATAAAACTGGACCTTAATGTTGTATTTGCATTTGCTAACTAAGATTCGTGCAGTGTAATTTGTAATGATGGAAATACCTATAGTCAATTTTACTTTTGAATGTCTACTTGACCTAGCCAAGTCGTCTCAGGTACACAACTTTTTTTATACACTTAAAACACTAATAAAGGCTCCAATTGTCTCAATGGAAATTTGCCGTAGCATAATGATTGGTGTGCTTTTGCTTCTTTTTATGACATACAAATCACCAAGGATAACATGTGAAGTATCAATTATTCTAGCAAAAACTCCCAAATGAGTAGGACAATGACTTGGTTGAGTTCATTTGGATTTCTAGAATTTCGTACCTTATATGAAATGGCAACCTCAAGTTGTCAACAATGACAGGAAAAGAAAAACATTTGCATGTGGAATGTGTTAAAATCGAATCACATACTTGTATAAACATCCTCTCTGCATCTCCAATTCTTCCATTTTCCTTCAGAATAATTCCCTGCAGAAGCAACAAGAAAATAAAGTTCACATGCAAGTTTTCAACATTCACAAATATCCCGAGGTATTGATTGGCACAAGAAAGATAGGAAGTTATTCTACAAATAATTGGAGGAGGACAGAACAACACATCTGAGATATGCAAGTATCACCAAAATCAACAAAAAATTATGGTAAGGATCTTCTGCTTGTATCCAGATTATGTAGATTATCTAATCAGGGCCAGAAATAAAGGAACTTTTATTTGTTGTTTCATAGCATTGAACGACAAAGTTCTGCTTCTTTTTTTCTTGTTTCTTTTGATGCTTGTGCCATCATTCTTCCTTTTTCATGCGGATGATATCTGACTTAGGAGCTTGTGCACTCTTATCTACATCTGGTCTACCAATTGAATCCATTATATAGAACTCAAATTGTTATTGGTAAATTGTTTTGACAGTACAACATAAGAAACTCAACAGCAGTGAACCTGCTCTAATAGTTACAGCATACTCGTCCTTGAATTATCTTCGACACTTTCGTCATCATTTAAATTTAGGTATACGACCAACCCATGCATATAACTCTTTGAGGACACTGGAAACTTGACCTCTAATAGCTCACAGAGGGACTGTGAGAACCTGAATATAAAAATTAAGTAAATAATTAAATAATAATATTACAATCTCAAATATTTTGGTGGTGAATTCTAAGGTGCAAATTAAATATTATTGGAGGATCTTTTAATCAGTTTTACCTAAGGGTATCAGTTTCTGGCGGACTTTTGGGCAGAATTTGGTAGAGAGCATGGTCATTCAGCTACGCTCATATCTGTTTTGGCAAAAATGGGCTGAGATGCTACCTGTTTTCTCTTTTGCTAGGGTAGTCCTGGAATCATAGCTTCAGAAGGCTCCAATATCCCTCGAGTACACCGGACTTGTGTTGACAGACTTTGTCAGGTCAGAGACTCAGTTCAAGGGCAATCAGAGCCAGAGAAGACTAGTCAGGCGCAGACCACCAGTGCAGCAGCTACCAGAACAGTGGTCTTAGAGCAATCGGGCTGAGATTCCCGAGCTTACTGCAAAGACAGATATACCGGTAGTTCAGTCAAACCAGGGCAGTATGGCAGGAATAGAGGAAATGATGCGTCAACTCCAAGAGACCATGAAAACCATGTAGCAGGATGCTGCTCGTCAAGCAGAATTTGCCAAACAGCAGGCTAAGATCATGGCCCAACAGGCAGACTTAATTGCTCGGCTGCAGTAGCAAACAAGAGCATCTACTTCACATCAAGCCCCTCCCCTACCAGTAGATCTAATACCCGGGGAGACGCCAAATGTCCAGGAAGGTACGGACATTTGGACAGGGCCGACTCCGCCCCCAATCTTGCCCCAGCTGTCTAAAGCACCAATCAACCTACCGGACTCTCCCTTTAAGTTCGAGGTAGACCATGTAGCGCTGAAGGTCAGCAAGTTGGAGAAGATGTTCAAAAAATCTCAGGGAGTGAAGTCCATCCCAGATATTGAGGACGGGTACACCGACGTGGCTGTGACGCTACCGGACCGTTTCAAGATGCCACAAATTGACCGCTTTGATGGATCCGAGGATCCCATGGTGCATCTTCGGTTGTTCTCAGATATACTAAGGCTGATGGGCCTCACCAGACTACAGAAGCTTTCATTATTTGGCCGGACCTTGTCAGGGGTGGCAGCCATCTGGTACGCAAAATTGGAAGATGATGTCAAGAGGAATTGGGATGAGATGGCCGAGGCCTTCGTTGCACAATACTCGTATAACATGCAAATCGAGATTACGACCCGTGATCTTGAGACAATGAGGTAAGAGCCTAAGGAGAGCTTCTCAGAATTCATGGTCCGCTGGAGGGCCAAGGCCTCAATGATGACCATTAGGCCAACGGATAAGGATCAAATACGGATGGTTGTGCGCAACCTCCAGCCCAAACTAATGCAGAAAATGATCATGCTCCCCTTTCCCACCTTTTTAGATTTGCATGAGATGGGAGTATAGATCAAGGATGCCATGAAGCAGGGCCTTATTGACCAGGAGAAGGAGCAGCCTAGGCGGGCGTTTTCCCGCAGTTCGAATGCAACCACCAGTGGTGATGCAGCTGCAAGATCTTCTGAAGTGGGCATGGTCACCACCACCGCATCAAAAATAGCTACCCCATTCACCGATGCGTCCGGAAGTAGCTCACAAAAAACCAAACATCCACCTCGAGTCAAGAGGGTTTTCACCCCACTTCATATGCCTTTGTCAAAGGCTCTAGAGGTCTTACTCCGAAAAGGACATTTGAAACCGTTGGAACAACGGCCTCTACCTGATCCTATCCCTGCAAAGCATGACCAGACTAAATACTGTGCCTACCATCAACAAACCGGTCATGACACCGACAGTTGCTTTGGTCTGTGCCATGATGTACAAGATCTGTTTGACAACGGGATCATTGTCGCACCAGGTCCTGCAAAGTCTATCGGCACTTGATCAGTGACCTTGTGGGGGATAATGTGATGTGATCGGAGGATGAACCAGCTGCGTGTGGCGCTCGATTTACTCTAGACGTGGGAATGGCACGCACTGTTTTGAGCACATGAAAATACTAGTTTTTGTACTTTCTGACTTGGGTATTGGGTCAGTTTTGTTGTCTTGTATATAGTCAGTCTTTTTGTACTGAGTCAGTCGGGTCTATCTTGTTGTATTGAGTCAGTCCTGTTGCACGGGAGTCAGGTGATCCCAGGGGTGTTACCTCGGACATCACTAGCTTGTTTTGTGTTTGTCTTTTTGCTTTCTGTTGAGTCTGTTTCTGCCTTGGACCCAGTTATGCCAACAGATCTGAATGAAACAGTAGTGATTTTCACACTCTTGTGTTTGCTTCTGCCTTGCGCCAGTTGTGCCAGAAGTTTGAATGAAACAACAATACTTTTTGCCTACTTTTTTATGCCTCGAACTCATTGCATTGACCTAAGTTTTCTAAAACTTTTCAAACACTGTGATGAAAACGAAAAGGGAGGAATTCCTGGGGTTTTGCAAAATTTGATCAATTGAGAGAAAGAGAGGCATGCTAAGAGGCATGCTAAGCCCTTAACGAATGAAATCATGTATGTTAATGCGAGCACTGAGAAGGACCCTGGCTTGATCCAGATTGGTTCTACACTATCTTCAGCGCGAGCGATTTGTCGCTTTCTTAAAAAAAAAAATTAAAAATGTTTTGCGCCATCTTGTGAAGACTTGTGTGGAATCGCTCTTGAGATTGTGCAGTCTAGGATCACTCTCAGTCTCGAGACTCGACCCCTTGCTTTCGAACCTTGAACTTAGATTCAGAATGTCCAACGGTCAACCACCATGTAAGGCCTGTGTGGCCGAATCAGAAGCGCCCCTCAAACTAGAGGCAGGGAAGTCAGATCAAGAAGATCAGATGTCATTAAAGGAGCTTGCAAAACTAGATCAAAAGCACCCCTCGAACTAGGAGCAAAAGATACAAGATTGTGCTCGAAGAGCCGAAGATGGATCATTTCACAAATCAATGAAGATCGGCAAGAATGCCAAACCCCAGAAGGAAGGAAAGAAGAAGACATTGCTGAAGGACAACTGGGTTCCCATCCACAACACTAGGGGCAAATTCACCCTCCATTGGATGGACTTCTACATCATCAACGAACAACAGCCATTCTCCTAGATTCAGATGACTTCAAGATCTCAAACCATTCAACATGGACAAAGCTACACTTTTACCCTTGAGAGGCTCGCTGGGCCGAAAACCCGGAAGGGCGACCCCGGCAAAAGTTAGAGCAAGAAAAAGAAGAAAAAGAACAAAGAAAAAGAAAAGAAAAGAAGAAAAAAATGAAGAAAATTGAAAAGAAAAGATGAAAAAGAAAAGAAAAGAACAAAAAGAATTGAAAAGAAGAAAAACAGAGCTCGCAAGGTTGAAAACTCGGAAGGGTAGCCTTGGCAAAAGTTAGAGCGCAAAAGGAGAGTTAATACCCGAGTGTACCTTAACCCCGAACTACGTAAGGCTTGATTCCCATCTTTGGGATATGTAGGCAACTTCACTCTAAAGTCCAGCAGTAAAACACTTCAAACCCAACTGTGTCCATGTGATGGTTCTGGTCATCTTTGTCTTCTCTATATCCGAGAATTTGGTTGTAATTGTCACTGTGAGGACTGATTGCCATGTGCTGCGGCACTAGTGAGGACTGGTTGCCATGTGCTGCGGCGCTATTCAGACTAGGGGCAACTTTCCGTTGCCATACAGCGCACTGTGGTGCCATTTAAACAAGGGGCAACTTTCCGTTGCCATGTAGTGCCGTTTAGACAAAGGGCAATTCTCCTTCGGATCTGAGGTTGTGCATCTCGAGAGTAGGTTCCGTGCTCGTTGAGCAGTGACCGTTTGCAAAAACAATTTGAGAAATTTTACTAAGGTTGACTAATTCTCTCAAAAATTATTCCACTTTTCCAAAACTGGACCATTTCTTGGACCCAAAAAGGAAAATTTTCAGTGCTCATAACCTAACTTGCATGATTTTAAATCAGAAAACCGAACAAGCATGTTAATCTATCTCTCATGTTGGTCAAAATTGTTTTAGCAGAACGTCAAAAACAAAAAATGGTCAAAATGATGAACTAGGGGCATGGTTGAGTCAAGTTTTCTATCGTTTCCCCTTTATCAATGTACTTGCCAGAAAGGGCACCGTATTCGCCAGAAAGGGCACAGCGAAAGCTAACAACAAAGGGCTGAAAGCTCTCATATCCTCCGTGCAACGAGGTATCAAATCAAGTGCGAAGCACGAACTGGAATAGATCAAGATATTCCACTCCCTCATCTGGATAGATCTAATCACGTCCAAACTCCCCAGCAGAGCATCGTCAACCGATGTCAGCTGCAGATTTGCTACACACCCAGTTGTAGCGCAACTCCTCTGTAGGAAAATCCACTAGCTGTGCGTAAAGGAAAGAGAATCTAGCAGAATGCTAGGGGCAAGAGCCCGCAACTTCCTGTTTATCCATCAACCACCCTGGAGAGGGATGAAAAATGAGAGATTAAAGAATAGAGAGATGTGCGCTGAGAGAAAAAGCGAGGAAAGGGTTTTGAGAGAAAAACCGAG